GTGTGTGTGTGTGTGTGTGTGTGTGTGTGTGTGTGTGTGTATAAGTGTGTGATGCATCAGGCGTCTCCTGGCTGATCATGCAGGTCCCAGTGGTCACTGGCAGGGAGGAGGGAGGGCCCAGGGTGCTTGTGACGATCTTCAGGGTGGGGGCTGAGGGAGAAGCACAAGTCAGGCCCTGGGTCTTCCATTCTGTCAGCTGTGTGGCTCTGACACAAGGTCAAGGTCACTCAGGCCATCCCCTCCATGGCCACAGGCAGGCTGGACCTGGAACCCCTTTCTGGGCCCCCTCCCCAGGCCCCTCTCCAGGAACTCCGTGGCCTGGTGGGCATATCCGGATGAAGAGTCATCCTGCTCAGCAGAGGATCTGACTGTGTGGGAAGAGCACTTGGCCACACCCTCACCACAGCCACACCCTTCTCCCCCTTGTCCCCCCAGCAGGGGTGGGGTGACACTTATTCTGTAGCCTTGACTAGAGTGATGGGTGGCCAGGGCCCTCAGGCGTGGCTGATGGCTCCAGTGAGACCAGGAAACAGACGTGCCTCAGGGTCTCCACTGGATGGCGGGACCCGCAGTCCCTTAGACACAACATGGTCTGAATGCTCAAGTCTCCAAAATTCCTTTGTTGAAAGCCCCATGCCCAGTGGGTGGTATTAGGAGGCCAGGCATTTGTAGGTGGTCCAGGCATGAGGGTGGAGCCCTCATCCATGGGATTAGTGCCCGGATGAGGGAGGCCCCTCACCCCGGAGGATACAACAAAAGTCTGCACCCAGAGGAGGGCCTCGCCCACCTGCCGGCCTCCTGATCTCGGGCTTCCAGCTGTGTCTGAGCTACCAGCCCCCACACTGTCAGCCAGGCCTTCAGCCCACTGGGCAGTCTTCTCTGGGTAAAAATTAGCAGAAAGAAAGACCTAGAACAGGGGGTGGGGGGCCTTTTCCTGCCAAGGGCCATTGGAGATTTATAACATCATTAGAAGGCCCACAAAATCATCAACTTAAACATTAACCTGTTCTGTTTGGCCAGGCATTTCATTCACTCACCCCTAATGCCTTGGCAGGGCCAGACCCAATGATTTCCTGGGCCTTATATGGCCCTCGGGCCCGACGTTCCCCACCCCTGATCTAGAGAGACCCACACCAGGTGGACCCCATAGAACGTGGCCTGTCCCGAAGGCACCGGGACAAACCCCTCCCCCTCCCCCAGCCTGAGGTTCTGGGATTTCCAGTTTCTCCCTCTTAAATAGAAAGACACAAAGGCCTGTGAGGGAACCTCCCACGTGGGAGTGAGAAACTGAGAACTTCAAGGAGGAAGTGAGCAGCCAGAGCCACTGCCATCAGGAAGGTGATCTTCACTCGGCTCTTAAGCAACAAGCGCAGCGACCTGGTGGAGTGAATTGTGGGGAGAGCAGGCAAGAATTTGGGGCCATAGCACCTGTGCACCACGTGATCACCTTTCCCCTCCTTTCCTGAGGGAGGTACTTTCAGGGGCTCCTCTGGGTTCCCTCCTGTGGCTACAAGGCATCAGAGAAAAACTGGAAGGGACAGGGTCAACCTGAAGGGAAGGGAGGCCCCAGAACATCACAGGGGACCCAACTGGCACCTGGGGCTCCTCTGGGCCCGTCTCATGGCAGCTGCAGGCCCCCAGGACCACGGCTGTGAGGGCGATGCCTCAGGAGCCATCCAGGCCTGAGACTGCGTCAGGGCCTGGCCCCCGGAGGGATCTGTCAGGAACAGACTGCGTGCATACGTGCGTGCGTGCGTGTGTGTGTGGAGGACACACCTGTGCCCAGATAACACCCACACACGCTGTGTCCTGATCACTGCCCCCCACTTCACCGAGGTCTTCAATTCCATGTCTGTCCTGACCAGCGGGTGACCAGGTAGATCAGGCAGCCTGGAGCTGGGGCGAGGGGAGGGTGTGTGTGACTCACCTGGGGACACAGACACCTCAACCGGGAAGATGAGGTCTATCAGTCCTTCTGTCCATGGTGTATCGATCCCACACATGTATTTGCCTTCATCACCCACTGTGAGTCTCTCCAAGGTCACTGTGAAGGTGAGGGTTGCTGGATCGTCCCTGATGGACACTCGGCCGCTCCTCACTTCTCTCTCTGACTCTGTGGTCTCCACAATCTTCATCCTCAGTGGCAAACATGATGGGTCATTGCACCAGTATTTGTTACGGTCTGTGTACTCCTTCTTGTACCAACACTGCACGCTCAGTGATCCCCCCACGGTGCCCGTCACTCGCCTGGGACCTCTCAGAGATAAATAGCCTGGAAGACACAGCCCGTCCCGGGTTCTTACCAGATGGGCCAGGGGCAGGGGCACCCTGGGGTGCAGGTCCCTCAAGAGCCCTCAGGGTCTGGAGGCCATGCCTTTCCTCAGACCAGGGGAGGGGACGAGGGGTGATAGTTCCATCCTCCCAGTGGTGACACAGAGAGAGGGTGTCCATGGAGACAAGAAAGGCCATGATGGGAAAAAGGAAGTGTGCGCACAGGTATATGTGTGTATGTGTGTGTGTGTGTGTCTAAGTGTGTGTGATGCACCAAGACCGCATCGCTGATTTTTTTAAATCACTTAAGGATATTTTTCCATTGCTTATTAGAGAGAGTGAAAGGGAGGTAGGAAGGCAGAGGAAGAGAATAACATCGATGTAAGAGAGACACATTGATTAGTTGCCTCCTGCATGAGCCCAGGTACATGCCTTTGATTCAGAATCGAACCTGCGTCAGGCCGACACTCTAACCACTCAGCCAGGGCCCACTTCCTGGTTATGACCATAAGTGGTTGAGACCCACCTGCTTTGTGCACTGAATCCTTGTGGTTGCTGCT